TTGTAAAGCTAGAAACAAAACAGCAACAACAAAACATCTAAGCATTGTTAAGACAATATCAAGGTTAGCTGCCGCGTTTTTTTTTTTTTTTTGGATTTTTTTCTTGCCAAACAATAACATGAAATATGATTATTAACAATAAGGTTTAAAATAGAAGTGAAAACATATAAAACAACTACAACAATCTTTGTTTTATATCTTAGAAGTAAAAAAAAACTTGTCGTTTTTGTTGTTTTATTTCATAAATGACAACATGATGTCACCATTGTAGATAGTGCGTGAAATGCAAAACGTTTTGCGCCTAGCCAACTGAATGGAGGGACAAAAAGTGGCTATAATACGTCATGCCTCTGATTTTTTTATTTGCCTTGATTGTTGCTGTTTTGTCAGTGGCCCTTGTACAAGGTTTTTTGATTGCATATTAAATAAAAAACAGCAACATTTTTAATTGGAAATCATATTTCCGATCAATATGGCGGGTCAAATGGACCCTGACTTTTGTGTGAAAAATGACAAAATTTGTATTATATAGCGTATATATTTACTCCTGAAGGACATAGACCCAAGAAGTTGATAGTATATCCAAGAGGAGTGGTTGACCTTTAAATTGATACCAATTATATGGTCGTATGTACTCGGATGTGGGAGTTACACGTAAATATTTTCAGGAGCTTACGTATTCATATATTATTTAGTAACATATTACCACAATAGAGGGGGGAAATATAGCGCTCATCGCTTTGAAATTTTCGTTGAGGATCCAGGTATGTTCAAGGACAACGTCTATAATTTTCTGTGATGATCAGATTAAAATTTTGGGATGAAGTGGACCCAAAACTAAATTTGTTGTATTTTTTCAAGTCGATCTATAGGCCACAAAACCGAAAATCACAACACAACACACGGTGAAGTGAATCTGGACAAGTAATTAGAAGGGCTGTACAGAATATTGAGATATTCGGAAAATATGTCAGTGGAAGGAAGAGGTGCTGTTGATCTCTAATCGGTCAAGAGGATGCAAATATCACGAAATATTGATCAGGCTCGAAATAAACATACGCAAAAGTTAGAGTTCCGTGGTAGTTGTGTTTGGTATCATATGGTCGGCCCCGTCCGACTATACTGCTCCGCTAGATAAACCTCTATATATATGTTTATGATTATAAACAAAATATTCTATAGGTCTACATATATTACATTTTTACTGGTAAAATGCGTTCAAACTATCTCCTATCCGTATACTTTTTGAACAAACCTTGGAGATATTAAACTTTATCTCTTGCTTCTGTAGTGAAGCTTTCTATATGTAAATATTTTATACAGAAACTTCTATAGATCTTTTGGTAAAATACTTTATATAGAAACTTCTTCAATTTTTTCCATTAAAATTTTAAATTATTTTCCTTTTTAAACTGAAAATCCTATCACTTCCTCATCATAGCATAACATAACATTCCAATAAATCAAGCATCATGGCCTAACTACCTTTCCATTAGTCTGAATATCTTTCGTCTCCATTTTTTTTCGCCCTGGACCAAAACGATAATGACCATTAGATGAATTCCAACCATAGATAGTAATACCAATACCCTGCCAGTCTGTGGCTGCGTATGAGTGTGTGGTTGTTGTTTTTATAGCAAAATTGACAGCTGTTCAAATTGATGGATATGCTGTCAGAAAAATATGTACTGCAAAAACAACAACTAGCAAATAAGACATAGAAATGCATTTACACAGTTGTAACTCATTTCGAATGTCACTACAAACAGGAGAAGAAGAAGAAGAAAATGAGAAAGAAAACAAAAATGCAAAAAGAAATGTTACTGATGGTATTCAAATGTGATAGACGAGTTGAGATGGAGCTTAGTATCTTTGTTTGATGGTCGTCTTGGTTTGAATTCTTGTTTTAATTCACATAGAGGCGTTAATTAAAGTTGCATAACACAATTAAACATCACAAACATTTTTTTTCTGAATGACAGTTAAGTATAGGAATGAAGGCCAAAACGCAAATGTAGAAAAATAGAAGGCGAAGAATCGCATTACACAGGTTGTTTGGTTGGCTGACTGGGATGGTTGGTTGGTTGGATGACTGGCTGGCTGGCAGACAGGTACATATGTTGGCTTTGGCCAAGGCATATATTTAATATAGGTATTATGGAGATTTAGAACAAGATTTGAAATGAGGCAGTATGAACTGGTACGGTAGTGGATCCAAACATAATAGAAAACAGTTTTCATTGGGGGGAAGTTTTTTTTTCAGAATAAAAAACATGTTGATAGAACAAATAAAAAGTTGTGATTTTTTAAAGGGATTTTTATTCGTTAATATAATTCAATTCTACTATAAGGGAATGGCAACGAAGAGGTCCCACATATTTAAAATGACTGATAAATTAACAAGTAAAATCTGTGTTAAATTTGGTTGGACCGAACTTTTCATACTCTGCACCACCAGGTGCACATTCAAAGCAGCTAAATAGGGATATACACTGCTAAGTCCTGTTCCAGAGGATTTTTATGCCACTTATATATGGCTAGAGATTGCGAAATGCAGTGGATGGTCCGCCAGACTACAAAGCGATGGGCTCAATGTACCAGCGAAGGAGAAACAATTATTTCAAAGTGATTTTCGAGTTTTTGTAAAAAAATAACTTTTGCCCCAAAAAGTATGCTATATTTTATATTATTATTGAGTTCTTGTCGCTTTAAAAAATATTATACTTTGGTGTCAATCTTCTCACCGAAATCAGTTATGAAACTATGTTGCCTCGATCAAGATATTATTTTATATGAAGACAAATGAAAATCAAATTCTTGGAAGCAAACTCAGTTTCTAGTTTTCTTTGTTCTGAAATCCACATTTTATGATTAATGAATCTATCACAGAAGATTTCAAATCAATTGTTCGGCCAACTTCAGTTCTGATTATTATTAAACAATGTCAAATGTTGCAAAGCAATGGCATGCCACAAGTGTAGATTCACTCATTGAAATCACCACCAGAAAACTATAGAGCTCCGCTATACGTCAGTAACGTCATATACCAACATTCTAGTCAGGTGGTAAATATTGCGTGGTTTCATTTCGATTTTTTGCAACAATTATTCTTCATCTCAACCTCTCATTCCTCAATTGTTTGCCAAGTATGCGTGTTCTATGCTACGCCATTGTTGTTGCATTTTTACCTCTGCATCACGACCATACATCAATTGTTTCAATGCTAAAATGTTAATCACATCGTTTGGCTTTACGCAATTTTCTTTATACGCATTGTATATGTATTTTTCTTTGAGTATCGCGTAAAGCAGACAGATAAATGATAGGAAGTGCCATTGTTCTGCGATGAGTTATGTTATTTTGAAAAAAGGAAAAAAACCCATCTGATTTATTTGGTTGTTTGATAGACGTCATAAAGTATATTTTTAATAATGCCGATTACAGAACCAGGAAGGAGTCATGAGAGTGTGTCCGGGTGTGGGATTGAGAAAAAATAATTTAATAAACAAATGATTTTTAGATAAAAATAATAAAAGGTGTGAAAAATGAGGTATATCACATAAATTTGTGGTCTATTAATGAAAATCCAAATAATTATCATCATAAAAAAGTCTACACTTTTCCATACGAAAAAACCAATTGTCGAACAACTTCATCTTCTGGCATCAAAAATCTTGGACCTAAATTTTTTTCTTGCAGACATTCGTTGCCAATAATTCAATTGTCTATGATTAGTTTTTCAAAATTCGCCAAATTACCATTCAAAACTGGCCGTCATTACTTACAAAGCGAACAGTCGCTCCATGACCCGTTGTGCCGAAGAAATAGACGATTATTGATTCGAAGTGTTTTTTCCACGCTCAAACGCATGAGTCCATGATTCGGAACAAAAATAAAAAATCCGCGCTTCTATCTGAGTCTTTAAAAAAATATTCTATAGAAAACCAAGCGTGTAGCACTATCTGACCTTCGAAAAATCTGCGCTTCTACCTCTGCTAGTCCTTGAAAAATATTATTCGAAAAATTCACCCGTTTAGCTCGGTACTCCTTCAAAAAAATTCTTTAAAAATCCATACTTCTAGCTCTATTAGTTCTTCAAAAATATTCTTTAAAAATCCAGGCTTCCAGTTCGGCTAGTCCCTCAAAAATATTCTTCGAAAAAGCCACGCTTCTAGCTCTTCTAGTCCTTACAAATATATTCTTCGAAAAATCGACCCTTCCAGCTCTGCTAATCCTTGAAAAAAATCTTCGAAAAATCCACGCTTCTACTTCTGCTAGTCCTTTAAAATTTTTCTTTAAAAAATTCACGCTTCTAGCTCGGCCAGTCCCTCAATTTTTTTTTAAGTCCAGGCTTCTAGCTCTGCTAATCCCTCTAAAATATTCTCAAAAAATTTGCTAATCCTTCAAAAAAACATTTGTTTGACATAAAAAATAAAAGCCTATAGCACTGTCTGTCCTTGAAAAAATATTCGTTAAAAATCCAAGCCTGTAGCATTGCCTGTCCTTCAAAAAATATTCTTAAAACAACTTCACGGTTCTAGTTGGGTGTCCCTCAAAAAAAAATTAAAAATCCACTTTTTTACTTCTGCTGTTCCTTCAAATAATATTTTTTAACAAATCCAAGCTTGTAGATCTGCAGTTTCTTTAAAAAATCCACACCTTCAGCTCTGCTTGTCCTTCAAAAAATATAGTTAACTTGTAGCTCCATTCGGTATTCGGTCCGGTAAAAAAATATTCTTCAAAAGTCGCTTATTGGGCATTTTAATAGTGCCCAATTGATCATCTTCAAATTGGCGCCCAACATGATATCTGAAAATAAAAAATTTATGAAAATTGGGTAAAAAATCCACTCTTATTTCTCTGATAAATTCTTCAAGAAATATAATTGTCTGTTTGTTTTGTTTCTGTATTCAGTCATAGATTTTATTGTCAATATTAATTTTCAAAGCAAAAAAAAATCATTTATTTATTTCCTAATTTTATTTCATTCTTCTTTTTAGACATCGATGAGTGTCAAGATCCACAAATAGCTGCACGTTGCGTTGAAAATGCCGAATGTTGCAATTTACCCGCACACTTTTTGTGTAAATGTAAAGATGGCTACGAAGGTGATGGTGAAGTATTATGTACAGGTGAGTGCGAAGCAGAATGTCAAAAACAAAAATATTCTATGGTGCCCAAAAACTTCTGGGCAGGATTTCAACGACCTAAAAATGTCTCAGCAAAATTGCTTAATTGTCCTATGACGAAATTTGCTTAGAAATTGTTATCTCTTAATCTCTCTTTTTCCTCTCTCTCTCTCTCTTCTCCCAGATATTGATGAGTGCCAAAATCCAAATGCTTGCGGTCATAATGCTCAGTGCATTAATATGCCCGGCAATTATACATGTACCTGCCCCGATGGTTTCTATGGCAATCCCTACGATGGTTGCCTGGATATCGATGAGTGTGCTCAACCGAATGTTTGTGGTCCAAACGCTATATGTACTAACCTGGAGGGCAGTTATCGCTGCGACTGTCCTACAGGTTATGACGGCGATGGACGATCAGAAGCTGGTTGTTTAGATTATGATGAATGTGCACGCTCACCATGTGGCCGCAATGCTCAGTGTCAAAATACGGAGGGTAGTTTCAAATGTCTGTGTCCTGATGGTTATTCAGGTGATCCAATGCACGGTTGTGAAGGTAAGTTTTGCAAAAAAGAAGAGAATTTATTTTTTTTCAAGCTTTTAAAGTGCTTTAAAAAAACCATACCCTCATCCAGAGGATGGTATCTTTATGTTACATGTTGCTTTTGCGTTGCTCCATAGTTCAGAAAAAATTTACAAAACAAAATGAACAACATTTATGTTTTTGTTATTTGTTAGAAGATGAAAAAAAAACAAAACAAGCTTCAATGTATTTGCACCAATCTTGTTCCTTTAGAAATCAAGCTGAAGCTGATTTTAGTTGTAGGATGTTTCCTTAAGTCAAAATATATTTAAAAATTTGCACCCATTATTACTATGCAAAAATCATTTTCATTTACAATGAAAGCAATAATAATAGCAACCACAACAGAAACAAACAACAACACCAAAAGCAAGCATTACATTTGCACCAATTTTAAATTAATTTTCAAATTCAATGAAAAAACAACATTACATCAAACAAACAATAAATATTGAATTTGGAACTGGCCTACATTTCATATTATTTTATATATAATTTAATTTACTAATATTAAATTTAATATTTTAATTATTTAATTTAAAACACACAAACACCAACCATACCATCCTTGCACAACACCAACCAAAACAAAAAATAAAATCAACGCTTATCATTTACATAAACCAACCAACCACACCCACACACAACAGATGTCGACGAGTGCTCCATTAACAATCCATGTGGTTTGGGTGCTGAATGCGTGAATATGGGCGGTAGTTTTGCATGTCGTTGTCCGGCGGGTTTTCAACTCGAGGACTATGGCTACGATTCGAATAAATATAATACAAACGGCAACAACAACAGCAACAAATCATTAGCTATGGGCCCCATCGGTGCCGGTCGTGCTTGCATAGATGTGGATGAATGTAATCCAGATAATGGTGTCGCCAAATGCGGCACCAACGCTAAATGCATTAATTTTCCCGGTTCATATCGTTGCTTGTGCCCAAATGGTTTTCAAGGCCAAGGTTATTTGCATTGTGAAAGTTAGTATCATTTTTTTATCGATTATGCATTAAGCTTACTCTTTCATCAACTTTTATACTTTGACCTCTCTCTCTTTCTTTCTATCTCTCTCACTCTCTCTCTCTCTCTCTGTGAAATTTTTTAAAATCATGATTATTACAAAAATTTTTAAAAGCTGAGAATGCCTGGGAATTCTATTTGCAAATTTTTTTATTACAATTCATTGTAGAAATCGCCATTGTAAAAAAGTTAATATCAAGTGGCGCCCAACGTTATTCTTTTACCTACATTTTTTTAATTAATCAGGCTTCCAACGTAATATTTATTTTCTCTCCTACTTTCAAAATTGAATTAGAAGACTTCCTAGTGATACACCTTAATGGCGCCCAATGTATCACCTTCCATTTGTACCGATTTATTTATGTCTTTGCGCTCAATGTGGTGTTTAGAGATGCCAGATCTTCGTTCTTAGTGCATCCACATTAACACAATAAATTTGTAATTTTCAAAATTTGGGACCCTATTGTTTACCATAAAGGGAGGTCAACAAAAGGGGATGTTAATAATCGATTTTCCCAATATCTGCTTTACTCGAGATCTTTATCAGGTTGGTTGTACCAGTTATTTGCGTTGCATGCCAATGTACTCTGTAGATCCAATATTTTTGTGACATAAACTCAAAAATGGCGCCCGACGTTTGACAGTCTTCCATTTAGAGTGTGTTTTATTTCATACAATTTTATTATAAATATTATGTTTCAAATTCTCTGTAATCTGGCGCCCAACACATGACAAATTTATTAATTAGATATTTCATTGTATACGTCAGGGCATATCTATGTAACCTAACAATTTTGCGTATTGCACAGGAATCAAGAAGATATACACATATATTTTCTCACCAATGAATAATTTCCACTCTCAGTGTTTAGGATATCACCTGCCAAAAAATTTTGCAAATATTATTCTCAACGTACTCTTTCTAAACTCTACACTTCAGCATTTTCATAAAAGCTTCCAAATTAAAACACACAAACAAACACCTACACCAAAGTTAAACACTTGCTTCTTCACCAGCAAAAGAACCAACCAACAAGCTTTTCTGAAATGCTTCAACTCGATTATTTTCTCTTCATAGCTTTATGACTACCGCCAAAAGTCTTTTGACTTGCAACTATTTTCACATTTATTGTAGACAACTGCTACTGCTCGCTCTATTTTCACGCCACTTTAGTTTTAAGTTATATATTATTTTTATATATAAAAAATATCCCCTATTTCCCCAAAAATAAAACAACACTAATTTCATTAACATTTTTTCATAACACCTCCAAAAAACCACCACCAACAACAACAAAAACAAATGCAATTGTTCAAAAAAAAATACAAAATACGCAATTGCTTTGTTCACGGCTTTCACCAACGTATCGAAAACGAAAAATCTCTGTCTCACTTTCTACGTTACCTTATCCGTCCGACCGACCTTTGTGCATCTCTACAGATATCAATGAATGTCAAGACAATCCCTGTGGTGAAAATGCCATTTGCACCGACACCATTGGTAGTTTTGTCTGCTCCTGTAAACCCGATTTTACCGGTGATCCCTTCCGCGGTTGCATTGATATCGATGAATGTTCGACCATGGAAAAACCCTGTGGTCCCCACGCGATTTGTGAAAATAAACAACCGGGTTATGAGTGTTCGTGTCCCCAAGGATTTGCAGGTAAACCTGATGCCAAGACCGCTTGCGAACAGGTTGATGTTAATATCCAATGTTCAACGAATTTCGACTGTACCAACAATGCGGAGTGTATTGAAAATCAATGTTTCTGTTTGGACGGGTTTGAACCTATGGGTTCTAGTTGTGTGGACATTGATGAGTGTCGTACCCATGCTGGTGTATGTGGCGATCATGCCCAATGTATCAACACCCCCGGCTCGTATAGGTGCGATTGTGAAGCTGGTTATGTAGGAACTCCACCGCGCGTTATGTGCAAGGAACCCTGTGCCGATGTCCATTGTGGTGATCATGCCTATTGTAAGCCCGATGGCAATGAAGCCTATTGTATCTGTGAAGATGGCTGGACATTTAATCCCAGTGATGTTGCTGCCGGCTGTGTGGATATTGATGAATGTGACACAGGTGTACATGGACCATTTGGCAGCTGTGGCACCAATGCCACCTGTACAAACACCTTAGGCAGCTATTCGTGTTCATGCCCCTCAGGCTTTTCAGGAGATCCTCACACAAAATGTGTGGACGTGGATGAATGCCGCAGTGGCAATAAATGCGGTGAAGGCGCCGAGTGCATCAACATGAATGGTGGTTTCACCTGTAAATGCCCCGACGACTCCATACCCGATCCTGACCCAACTGTCAGATGTGTACCAATTGTCACCTGTAATTTGGACAACGATTGTCCTGGCAATGCTATTTGTGATCCGGCCAAGAGATGCTTGTGTCCCGAACCAAATGTCGGCAATGAATGCCGCCATCCATGTGAATTCAAGAATTGTGGTGCCCATGCCCATTGTATGTTGGTAAACGGCCAGGCTCAATGTTTGTGCGCTGAAGGCTTCACTGGCTCCCCAGATATGCCTGGAGGTTGTAATGACATCGATGAATGTAAAGCCAATCCATGTGCTGCAAATGCCATTTGCTCGAATACTCCTGGTGGCTATCAATGCCAATGCCCCTCGGGTGCCTCAGGAGATCCTTACCGTGAAGGTTGCGCCGCAACTCGGGCACCACCATCCTGTTCCGACTCAAATCCATGTGCTCCAGGTGAATCCTGCGTGGCAGACAGTTATACCGGAACCAGTGTTTGTATTTGCCGTCAAGGTTATGAACGTAATCCAGCCACAGGACAATGTCAGGATATTGATGAATGTTCCGCCACACGATCCAAACCGGCCTGTGGTATTAATGCCTTGTGTAAGAATCTGCCAGGCAGCTACGAATGTCGCTGTGCCGCCGGTTTTAATGGTAATCCCTTCGTTATGTGTGAACAATGTAACTCGCCCGAATGCCAATGTCAAGCTCCCTTCAAACTGGTCGGTAGCAGTTGTATACTCTCCGGCTGCTCGAATGGCGAGAAGTGTCCCAGTGGTGCAGAATGTATTTCAATTGCAGGCGGTGTTAGCTATTGTGCCTGCCCCAAGGGTTACAAAACTTTGTCTGATGGCTCATGTGTCGATGTTGATGAATGCTCTGAACCTGGCAGCAGGGTATGTGCCTATGGTGCGGAATGTATTAATAAACCTGGTTCGTTCTCCTGTGTTTGTCCCGATGGCTACAATGGAGATGCCTACAATGGCCAATGTACTCCGGCCCAAAGAAAATGTGCGGCAGACAAGGAATGTAACACGAATGAGAAATGTGTGCAGCCAGGAGAATGTGTCTGTCCACCACCCTTCTTCCTTGATCCCTATGACAACAACAAATGTAAAAGTCCTTGTGAACGATTCCCATGTGGTATCAATGCCAAGTGTACACCAACCGATCCACCACAATGTATGTGTGAAGTGGGTTATAAGGGTGATCCTCTGCTGGGTTGTACCGATGAAGATGAATGTGCCCATTTGCCATGTGCCTATGGCGCCTATTGTGTCAACAAGAAAGGAGGTTATCAATGTGTTTGCCCCAAGGGCTTTACGGGAGACCCCTACAAGAGTGGTTGTATTTTGGAATCATCGGACGAACCCAAGAGCGTGTGCGTTACTAATGAAGATTGTGCCAGTAACTTGGCCTGTATGCAAGGTACCTGTGTCAGCCCCTGCGCCAGTTTACTCTGTGGACCCAATGCCTTCTGTGAAACAGATAATCATGCCGCATGGTGTCGCTGCCGTGTGGGCTTTGTCAAGGACGATAATGGCGATTGTGTATCCCAGTGTAAGGATGTCATTTGTGGAGAAGGAGCTTTGTGTATTCCCACCTCTGAAGGACCCACTTGCAAATGTCCCCAGGGTTATATGGGTAATCCTTTCCCTGGTGGTTCTTGCTCGACAGATCAATGTTCTGCCTCCAGGCCCTGTAATGAAAGACAAATTTGCATTAATGGGCGTTGCAAGGAAAGATGTGATGGCGTTGTTTGCGGTATTGGTGCCATGTGCGATAAGAACAGTGGCAAATGTGTCTGTGAACCGAACTTCATTGGCAACCCTGATTTGATTTGTATGCCTCCGATTAAGTATGCTGAATGTAATCCTCCATGTGGTCTTAATGCTCATTGTGAATATGGCTATGGCAGTGCTGAGTGTGTTTGCAACTCAGGAACCACAGGTAATCCCTACGAGGGCTGTGGCGCCCAAAGTAAAACAGCATGTGAGCCGAATAGCTGTGGCCCCAATGCCGAATGTAGAGCTGATGCCAATGGCATTACATGTGTCTGCCCTCAAGGATTTGCCGGTAATGCCTATGTCGGTTGCCACGATATTGATGAGTGTATGAACAAACCATGTGGTCTTAATGCCGCCTGCCTCAACACCCATGGAGGTTTCGAATGTCTATGTTTGTCAGGATTTGGTGGAGATCCATTCACCAGCTGTCAACCTGTTGACACAGAATTCTGCTCCGATGCCCAGAAATGCAAATGTAATGAACGTGTCTACTGCCCCGATGGTTATTCCTGCGAACGTGGCAAATGTAAGGATCTATGCTCCAAGACAACTTGTGGTCCCAGAGCCGTGTGTGATGCCGGTAAATGTTTATGCCCCTTGGGTTATTTGGGTGATCCCAATAATCTCGAGACAGGCTGTACCATTCGTGGTCAATGTAACAACGATGCTGATTGTAAAAATTCCGAAATTTGCTTCCAACTTAGCAAGGGATTGCGTAAATGTGTTGATGCCTGTTCAAAAATACAGTGTGGACCAAATGCTCTCTGCGTGGCCAATGACCATCGTTCCTCGTGTATTTGTAGTGATGGTTATTATGGTGTACCCAGCAATTTGCAAACAGGTTGTCAACCCGAACGTAAAATACCCGAAGTGGAGGATAAATGTAAATCAAATAATGATTGTGAATTGGGTTATACCTGTTCGGCGGTTAATGACGGAGCCAAGGAATGTGTGCATATGTGCTCCAAAGTGGTGTGTGGCACCAACGAAGTTTGCAAGTTGGATAACAGTGGCAATGCAATTTGCAGCTGTGATGACAGCTATGTCTGGAACCCCGTGTCATCGACTTGTGAGAAACCCAGCCTGCCCGATTGTACTTCGGAACAAGAATGTCCAGCTGCTTCGGCTTGTCGACCAGATGTTGTGGGCGTTTTGAAATGTGTATCAATTTGTGATGAATTCACCTGCCCTGCCAATTCTATTTGTGTTGCCAAGAATCATCAAGGCCGCTGTGATTGCTTGCCTGGATTTGTGGGTAATCCCAATGATCGTAATGGCTGTCAACCTAAACAGAAACATCAATGCCGTTCCAATGCTGAGTGTGCAGAATCGGAGGCATGTATTAAATATGGACCAGAGGAAGTGCTCACATGTAGACCTGCCTGTGAGGCAGTCAAATGTGGCCCACGTGCTGTATGCATTACCAACAATCATCAGGCACAATGTCAATGTCCTCCTGGACCATTTGCTGGCGATCCGTATGATCCTTATGAGGGCTGTCAGAGTGTCCCATGTGTCTACAATAAAGACTGTCCCTCACATCAGTTGTGTAATCGTCTGACCCACACTTGCTTCGATGTTTGCGACGACGAATCCTGTGGCACCAATGCCATCTGTTTGGCTGAAGATCATCGTGCTGTATGCCAATGTCCTCCGGGATACAAAGCCAACCCAATACCTGAAATGGAATGTATTAAGACCGGAGGTTGCACCCCAGGTACCTGTCATCATTCGGCCATTTGTGAAGTTACATCTGAAGGTCCAATTTGTAAATGTCCTGAACATTTCATTGGAGATCCAGTTCGTCAGGGTTGCCGTCCCGAGGGACAATGTCCAAATGGTGATGGTGATTGTCCCGCCAATACAATTTGCAGCGGCGGTCGCTGTGTTAATCCCTGTGACAATGCCTGTGGTGCCAATGCCGAATGTAAGGTTATCAATCGTAAACCTGTTTGCTCATGTCCCTTCCGTTTCCAACCAATGGGAGAATCAGCTAAGGAAGGTTGTGCCCGTTCCGTCTCCCACTGTCGTTCAGATGCTGATTGTGGCGGTGAAGTTTGCTATAACGGAGAATGTCGTGTTATATGCCGTGAAGAAAATGATTGTTCCGTCGGAGAGAAATGTTTGCAGAATGTCTGTGTGATTCCATGTGTTGACCATAGCCAGTGTGCCAGCGGTTTGGCATGCTTGAAGGGTGTCTGCTCCATTGGATGTCGTAGCAACAAAGATTGTCCTTCGGATCGTTCTTGTATTGATAACAAATGTGCTGACCCCTGTCAAACTGGAGGTGTCTGCGGTCCCAATGCTCTTTGTAATATTGACAACCAACGTAGCCACTGCTCTTGTCCTGAGGGCTTTGAAGGCAACCCCACACCTGAACAAGGCTGTGTACGTGTACCAGCTCCTTGCTTGGCCACCAATCAGTGTCCCACCGGTCATATGTGTATCGGCAATCAATGTAATTTGCCATGTCAAAAGACTTCCTCCTGCGCCATTGGAGAACGTTGCTATCAACAAGTCTGTCGCAAGGTTTGTTACACCAGCAATAACTGTTTGCCCGGAGAGATTTGTAACAATGATGGCACCTGCCAACCTGGTTGTGATTCTGACGCCGATTGTCCACCAACCGAATTGTGTTTGAGCGGAAAATGTAAATGTGCTCAAGGGTTCATTGGTACCCCATTCGGCTGTTCTGATATTGATGAATGTACCGAACTACCATGTCATGCTTCGGCCAAATGTGAAAATATTCCTGGATCGTTTAAATGTGTTTGCCCCGAGGGTACTGTTGGAGATGGCTATGTCAAGGGCTGTGCTAAACCCAAAGAATGTTACAAGAATGAAGACTGTTCCACTGCCTTGGCATGTATCAATGATAAATGTTCCAATCCTTGCTTGACTACCAGCTGCGGTCCAAATGCCCTTTGCCAGGCGGAACAACACCAGGCTATGTGTGAATGTCCTCCAGGACATTTGGGAGATCCATTCGATAGCTCAGTGGGTTGTTTCAAGGTGGAATGTATCACCGACGACGATTGTGCCAGTGATAGGGCCTGTGATGAAGCCACCAATCGCTGTATTAAACCTTGCGATTTTATCACCTGCGGCAAGGGATCCTGTAATGTTGTCGATCACAAGGCATTGTGCTCCTGCTATGAAGGTTATCATCTGAATAATGGCATCTGTGAAGATGTCGATGAATGTCTGAGTCGCCCATGCCACAAGACTGCCTTCTGTCAGAATTTACCAGGATCATTCAATTGTCAATGCCCTGAAGGTTTGATTGGCGATCCAGTGCATGCTGGATGCCGTGACCCCAATGAATGTCTTACTGACTCCGATTGTCCTGCCACCGCCAGCTGTCAAAACTCCAGATGCCGTAGCCCGTGTGAACGTGAAAATGTTTGTGGCGTTAATGCCAATTGTGTTGCTCAATCGCATAATGCTGTCTGCACCTGTCCTGCCAATGCTCGTGGAGATCCTTCGGTGGAATGTGTATTTATTGAATGCGCGGATAATGATGATTGTTCAGGTGAAAAGGCTTGTGTCGATTCGAAATGTGTTGACCCTTGCTCATTGCCAAATGCCTGTGGCTCCCAAGCTCGTTGTATAGCCCAAAATCACATCGGTATTTGCTCGTGTGAAAGAGGTACCACTGGTAATCCTCAACTGGGTTGTGTCCCATTGCAGTACTGTAATGCCGATAATCAATGTGCCGCCGGTAGCATTTGCTCGAATGGCCTCTGTTGTTCATTGTGTTCGTCAAATCGCGATTGTATTGCCGATCAATTGTGTATCCAAGGTGTGTGCCAACCCACCTGTAAATCTAACTCTACCTGCCCTGAATTCCAATTCTGTTTGAATAATATTTGCACCAAGGAAGTGTTGTGTCGCGAAGATCAGGATTGTGGCAGTAATGAAGTGTGTGTTGTCGATAACTACGGCAGAGCCAGTTGTGAAAATGTTTGCTTAGGACGCGCCGTTTGCGGACGCAATGCTGAATGTATTGCCCGCAGTCATGCCGCGGATTGTGAATGCAAAGAGGGATTCTTTGGTGATCCCAAGTCGGGTTGTCGTAAAGTCGAATGTACCTCGGATGATGATTGTTCCAGCGACAAGACCTGTGAGGGTCATATGTGTAAAATCGCCTGCCTCATCGGTCAGCCTTGTGGCGATAATGCCGTTTGTACAGCGGAAAATCATAAACAAGTCTGCCATTGTCAACCCGGTTTTACTGGTGATCCTAAACTCGGTTGTCAAGTCATTGATTTCTGTAAAGATGCCCCGTGTGGTCCAGGTGCTCGGTGTCGCAATTCACGCGGCTCCTTCAAGTGTACCTGTCCCGCTGGTTTGGTTGGCGACCCTTATAATGAGGGTTGTCGCACCTCGGTGGAATGTGAGACCAACGAAGACTGCCCACCGCATGCTGAATGCACGAAAACAAATGGTGTACCCAAATGTCATGATGTATGCGCCAACGTGCGCTGTGGCCCCAATGCGGAATGTATTCCGAAGGGTCACAAGGCTCAGTGTGCATGTCGCAATGGTTATGATGGCAATCCCGCTGACCGGGTCAATGGTTGTAAGCCATTGCCGACACCATGCCAAGTTACCGGCGATTGTCCGATCAATTCGTATTGTTCGGATAGTATATGCAAACGTAAGTACTAACAGTGTGAATGTGGTATTTTTTTATTTTTATTTTGTTATGTTTTGGGTTTTTGTTTGGGGTTTTCTTTATTTTTTATATTAACATGTAGTTAAGAAACTTACCCAAGGGGTAAAGGGTTACACGAACACATACATAAACAAATATTTACAAACAAAACAATAGTTTTTATAAAAAAAGAAAAAAACAAAAATACAAGATCCAAGAAAAAACCTTCAAAAAAGAGGAGCATTACAATACTCTACACATCTACATATACATCCAACCCCACTCAAAAATATATGTACACCAGAATTTATATTACACAATTTTTAGGTACTCTTTCGTCAAAATTATCAACACAAAATATTTTGCAATTTCTAATTTAGTTCTAGAAAAATATTGTTTTATTATTTGGCAAATTTGTGTTTTCAGAAAATCAAGGCTTTAAAATATACTGTATATAGATCCTCATCGGCCAACGACCCACAAAAATGTTACATTTATTTAAATAAGGAAATTATCGTTGACCCCACGTTGGTCGCCAAGTTCAAACATTTGACGGTACCTCTTAAAATATTTTTAAAAAATCCACGCTTTTGATAGTACCATAAAAACAAATTTAAAAAAATGCCTGCCTTTGATATTGGCGTATATTTAAAAAAATCCACGACTTTGTACCTTAAAAAAAAATCATTGCCTCATTGTCTCACAAAATCTTTAAAAACAATCCATGCCTTTGATAGTGCTTCAAAAAAAGCGTTTTCAAAAATCTACGTACCTTTAAAAGTATTTTTAAAGAATCCTCACGTTTAATAGTACATCAAAAATATATTTATATATATATATATATATTTTTTTTTTTTTTTTGAAAATGCAGGACTGAAAATATTAAAAATCCATGGCTTTTACATCTCACACCCCCTCTTCATCTCTGTCAGCCTTTCTGAAAACACAAGTTTGTCAAATAAACTCGGTAGGAATATCACACAATGATTTGCCTTGAATTCAAAAAGTAGTCTCTCCCTTTGTTATCACTTCTCTCTCTCTCTGTCACTCTTTTTGTCGATGTGTGATAATGATGACTATTTTCTATTGAACTCTGTGTTGAATTTTGTAAAAACAAACTCCCAGTACTCCCCCATTTCAGTGTATATTTGTCATTATTGTGATTACCCACCACCAGCTTATGTTCTCAATAATTAAAAATTTAATAATTTTGTTTTACTTCCTTCCTTCCTCACCACCTGCACAGCTGCTTGTGTCTTGGATACCGAATGTACCGGCAATGAACTTTGTCAAGGCGGTCAATGCGTTAATCCATGTAGCCAACCTCAGGCATGTGGTATGAATGCATTATGTTCCATCGATAATCACTATAAACAATGCTCATGTCCTGCTGGTTTCACCGGAAATGCTGAAGTGGAATGTGTACGCATACCAATTGCATGCAGTACCGATTTGGAATGTGGTCAGGGTTATAATTGTCGCGATGGTATGTGCTTCCCAGAATGTGGCAATGATCAAGATTGTGCCTTGAATGAGAAATGTTTGCGGGGCATATGTATGCGTAAGTATTGCATAACGGAGGAGACTGGGATAGGACTCCCTGTATAGAGACAGAACATGATTGCATTTGTTTCCTTATTTTGAATTTTCAGTTACCTGCCGTGTTGACAATGACTGCTTCTTGGGTCATGTGTGCTTGCACAACAAATGTGTCTTTGGCTGCCACACAGATGACGATTGCAGTGCTTCTGAATCCTGCCGCAACGATAAATGTATTCATCCATGTTCGGAAAATCCATGTGGTCCCAATGCTGCCTGTTCGGTGTCCAACCATCGTGCCACCTGCACCTGTCTCGATGGCATGGTGCCCAGCCCCACTGCCCAAGTTGGATGTGTTCGCGCTCCACCCCAGGAGTGTTCAGAGAATCGTGATTGTTTCAATGGTTTGGCCTGTTTCGAAGCTGTATGTCGTCCCTTGTGTGCCGATGATTTGGGTTGTCTGTCCAATGAACGTTGCCAGAATGGCGTCTGCAAGCCCTTGTGTCGTCGTGACGATGATTGCCGCAATAGCGAAGTGTGCCTGGGATTATCCTGTGTCGCTGGTTGTCGTTCGGATCAAGGTTGTCCCGATAATTTGTCCTGCATCAATCAACAATGTGTCGATCCATGTGCGGATGCCCGTGCCTGTGGCACCAATTCTCAATGTAATGTCTTCAATCATCAAAAGGTATGCTCTTGTCCTGATGGTTTGGTGGGCAACCCTGAGGTTTCCTGTAAACCACCAATCACTGTATGCCAGACCAATGCTGATTGTCAATCGAATCAACTATGCTATGGAGGTAGCTGTCAAAGCCGTTGCCGTAATGACCAAAACTGTCTGGCCGATGAGAAATGTATGCGTGGCTCTTGCCGCACTGTCTGCAACACCGATTCAGCTTGTGCCCAAGGACAAATTTGTGAAAATCGTATTTGTCAAATTGGTTGTCGCAATGATTTGACCTGTGCCCAAGATCAGGCTTGCGTCAACAAACAATGTAAGAATCCTTGCGATACGCCCGGACAATGTGGTCAATGTGCCAATTGCTTGGTTGTCAATCACGGTGTCCAATGCAGTTGCCCCAATGGCTTCCTGGGAGATGGTCTTACCGGTTGTCAAATGCCACCACAAAGATGTAACCCCTCGTGTCAATGCGATGAAAGCAATACCTACTGTGCCGAATCCTGTACCAGAAACACCGATTGTGCTTGTGGTCAAATGTGTATGCGTGGCAAATGCCGTTCCAAATGCGGAGCCAACAGATCCTGTCCAGTTGGCCAGTTATGTGAACGTGGAGCCTGCGTGGCTGGATGTAAAACCAACAATGATTGTGCCACCGATCAAACTTGCATCAAGGGACAATGTAGTGACCCATGTGCCAATAAGAAATCCTGTGGCCGCAACGCCTTATGTACCGTATCAGAACATCGTATGCTTTGCTATTGTCCTGATGGCTATGAAGGTGAACCGAATAAGGAATGTATCCAATTCGAATGCCAACATGATGAAGATTGTGAAGCGAACAAGCGTTGTGACAAGGGTAAATGTCGCAATCCCTGCTTGGAATTCGGAGCCTGCGGTGTCAATGCCCAATGTCGTGTGGTCGATCGTAGACCCCAATGTTCTTGTCCACCAGATTTCTTTGGTGATGCTGCCACCGAATGTCAACCTTTGGAAGGTGGCTGTGACAATAATCCCTGTGGTGAAAATGCACGTTGTAACGAAGTGCCCGGTGGCTATGAATGCTCCTGCATGGAAGGTTGTGTTGGAGATGCCAAAAAGGGTTGTATCTGTGATGGAAATATTGTTGATGTATGCCATCACCAAGTGTGTGGTTTGAATGCTGCCTGCCGGGTATTGCCACATGACGAGGCTCAATGTTATTGTCCCGAGGAATACCCTAATGGAGATCCATATGTTCAATGTAAGTAGAGAAAAAACATTATATTAGACTTTCGATATATGTAAAAATAATAAAACATGGGATGATCAGGATCTGAGGCCGAAGTAGCAATTATTTATGTATATAAAAAATAAGCTGTGATAATGTTGGGCGCCATTTAAAGATTATTTCAAAAGTACTAGTTCTTAATAATACTTCCTGATATAAAGAACATAGTCTGTAAGAAAATGGAAGATTATGTTTATATCCTAATGTTGGGCGCCATTTAATTTTAATTCTAAAAAATGCTGTTTTCATGACGAGTTTAAATCAAAAAAGGTCCCCAAGTTTTCCCCAACAGTGTTCCCTATGACGCTTATTATTCGATTTTACTTCAAAAAATCTCAACTTGGGCGCCACTAAATGAAAAGCGTATATCCTAAATACATAGCTTGGATTTTTAGTGTGACAAAATGTTAAATGATTTAATTATAGGGAAATATGTACGTTTCTACGTTGGGCGCCACTTAGTGAAATGACTTTCTAACAATATAAGAAAAATGTAATGAGGGAGAAAGTTTTGCCATACTTTTTCTGATCCAAAAAAAATATACAAAATTCTATCTTTCCTTTTCCAGGTTATCTAACTCAACCACCCCGAAATTGCCTAACTGAAGGTTGTGCGATCGGTGAATGTGTACGCGAAGGTTATGATTATGTTTGCAAACAAGGTAAGTACCCTACCACAATAAGTTTATTATCCTTAGAGCTTCAATATTTTATAGTAATTAGGTTTATTTGCCAACAAGCAAATAAAAACAACAAAGTATTTATATATTTTTTTAATTAAAACAAAGTTGTAGGGTTTTCGTTGTTGTTTTTAAATTGATTAATAATATTTTTTTGAATTCGGGATATTAATTTTGTTTGATAATCCAATTAATTGTGTGAGTAACATACGTTGGGTATTTTGCGTGTTTATAAAAACCAAATATCCGCAAAAAAAATGGAATTAGTTTAACAAAGACAAATTAGATAATCCAAAAAAATATTAAAAAATAATTAAACATGTTTTTATAATCTTAGGAGGGATTTTAATAGTTTTCAATATTTTGTTTTTTTTTATTATTTTTTTGCTTAACCTCAAATATTTTGTTTTCATTAATTTGCCATAATGAGTTCAAAACAAAACCAACCCAGCCGTAGTGTGTGTAAATACTAAATTTTATATTTTGTCTTATAAAATTAAAAACAAAAGATTAACCCGATAAAAAAGAGAAACAATTTATACACATGTGGTATACAAAAACACACAAATTCAATTAGTGTACAATTTTTTTAAATAATTAAAAATGAAAAATACACACACACAAAATATACCAAAAACACACACGGATTCAAAATTGATTATTTTGAGTTTTGTTAAAAAGAAAATACACTCACGCAATTTTATAAAATTATTTTTTTGCACCTTCCCTTATTACTATTTTTATATATTAGTAATTTTTTATTAAAACAGAGAACTTTACATAATTCCATTGACTAGCAAGGAAATTTTATAAGAAAAAAAGAAAATCTCATTCGTGGAATGTCGCTGTCGCTATCGCGGTCTCCCAATCTGTGCCTTATTTAATCATTTTGTTTTTTATTAATGTTAAGTTTTTTTATAATATTATTGTTTTATAAAATTATTTATTTTTATAGCTAATAATCATTTTTTTTATTTATCACCAACACCTTGACATTATTTTTTTACACCCTGATCCCCCTCAACAAAAAAAAATTAAAACAAATCCACCAAACAATTTTTAATACAAATCGAATACAATCGTTACCAATAAAAATAATAATAATTATAAAACCCTAACTCATCCTATAAATTAATAATAGCAAAACAAATAAACAATATCAATCAAAAGCTTTCGTTTGGCAATTTAACCTCAACAAAAGCTTGTCTTCTAACATTAAACCAAAAAAAACTTCTCCTTTAAATACCAACCAGCAATGAAACATAACCTCATTTTTTCCTCAATCGACATAAATAAATAATATAGCTTTTTAGATAACAGCTTTTTTGGCAAAATCATAAAAGCTTTTTGATAAAATTTTAGTAGCAATTTTTATTTGCCATATAATTTCATAATAATAATTTTAAACATTATTTATTAAAAAAAATATAAATAATTATAGTTTTTTTTAATTATTAGTGAACAGTCCCAATAATAACACAAACATTTCAAAGTCCACGTTTTAATGAAAATATTTAATAACAAAGAGTTTGTAACTCTTAAAAAAGTTACAGAATAGGCCTACAGGTTACTTTTCCACAATTTTTTTCAAGGTTCCATCATTAGTTTCAAGAGACCATTTTTAATAGGAATCATTTCTAAAAAGTTTTAGATCAATGTATTACGTACATTATTTAAAATGGCGCCCAACGTCAGACAAAACAGGACCAAATCACCTTCAATTCAGGTTACTTTTCCACCAATTCATGTTACTTTCAAATTTAAATTTTAAATAGTGAACTGAAGGTTTTGAAAAAGTTTTGCAGTGACATTAGATGGCGCCCAACATAATGATGTATCATAAAAACAGCATAACATTATGACGCTACAAATTATTAATTTAACCAAAAACTTGTGGGAAATTGGATTTTCCATTGGATTTTCCATTTATAAGTTCCATCTCGTGTGTTAGGTCCAGTGTCGTATATCCGTACAGATATCTCTCCAGAAACATCGTATGGCTCAGAAGAAGCAAAAACCATTATGGGCCCCTACGTTACATATAAATATTCCGATTCCAGTCGGCTAAATTTGTAACCTTACGTGATTCTTCCAGGGTCGCCACTATAATATTCAGTTCAGCTGGGATGTAATGGAGTGTTGTTTAAAAGCATTATTTTCAAAACAACTCCCAGTATTCTTACTGTTGGGCGCCATTTTCATGTTTTCTCTCCGAATCGTTTTCTGTAACAACAATTTTGTTATATTTCCTTAGACAGTGAAAACTTTTCTTTTCAAACTTAAAATCTGCTTTGCATATTGAATTGAGGAATACAAAACCTCATTTAATTATGGAAATAGCCCCTCTTTGGACGCCAATTGCAAAATAAACTAATTTATACAAATAAAACGTTCATACGGCGATTTTTTCGTACTAGCCCAGGCCTTGAATCTCAGCAAAATTCAACTCCTCTCGTTTGGATACCAAAATTTGCAACAACTATCCGGAATTTCGATTTTTTTTTTTTTTTTTTTTTAATACAATTTACAGTTGTCCTGTAGAATCTCTATAAAAAGATCGAACAACTATTTTAAAAATGTAAATTTTTCTTTGAATGACATAATAAAGTTTTATTATAATTTGTAAATTGTTTTCAAAAAAACCAAATTCAATATAAATGCTGAAATCCAGAAATCCTTACAGAATATCAATGTTAAGACACGACCGCACATTGGGCGCCATCTTTTTTATTGGGTCAGTAAAGTCTTTGAATTTTACAAAACATAATTTTTTAATCAGATCAGATCTTATAATCAGTGCAATAAAGCATTTATTATATCGTACAATGTTGGGCGCCAATTCTGTCGTATGCAAATATCCTTCTTTCCTCCTTAAGTTTTTGATCTGATCCAGAAAAATATTTTAGAAATAATAGCAATAAATTTGGTATCAGTTTTGTTCGAACACACTAGTTTATTAACTAATCAGTTCTTTAACAGATATTCTTAAAAATCTAACCAGCACATTCGAAAATACAAATTGCGAACCATACACCTTTAACATGCCGTCAACTAGGATCTATGCACAGATCAAATAAAACACATTCACACAATATAAGATTTAAGAAAATAAAACGTCAAACAAACTGTGACCTAACTAAAGTGATAAACGAATATGCCGCGATAGCGATATGTAAAGAAATAAAATTGAAAAACTACAGGGTCACACAAAAGCAAACACAAGTGTAAAGCAATAAAGAGTATTAACTAATATGAATATGAATTATGCTACCCTACGTTTTCCCAAAACTATCCTCGATTAGTATCCTTTATAATTCCCCTACCCAATCCAACCTACTACCCATCCTTTCTCCTGTCCTTTTTGTTTTGGTAATGTATTAAGAACTATAATTTTGAGCTAAATATGTTCGTTTTTTTTTTTAATAATTTATACAAAATAAATATTTCTTTAATATAAGATACAAAAATCTCCCTTTTACAACAAATAACAACAACAACAAGTCTCAGATTGGGAACTGTGGACGGGACAATTCTCACACATAGTTCTGCCTACCATAATATAAAGCAAAAACACACATACAGATTAAAAACAAACCACAACCACACATGTCATTATTTTTTTCTAATCGCCGTTTTTAAATAAAAAAATTTTACCAAAGCATTTTATAACAGCACGCCATTTTTAAATATTCATTAATCATGTATTGAAAAATTAGGTTTATAATTTCTTGTAATAACTAAAATTGGCTTAAATTTCTCAACAATATTTAAGGCCAGGTTATCACATTGGAACAATATATTTTTTATTGTTTCAAAAATAAAATAAAAATATATTTATTTTTTGTTTCTTCATTTAAAAAAAAGAAAATATTTTTTTCCATGTACAAAACAAAACAAGAATTCTCATCACAATCTTATGTAACTAAATTTTTAGAACTAACACACATTTTTGCCAACAAACAAAAAATACATAGAAAAATCGGTTTATATTCTCGGTACAAAACATAATAGACATAAGTTGTAAATACTATATATATGAAATTTGTATATAATCCAATTTTTTCCTATAAAACAAAAAAAATGAATTTTTTCCACTAACCCCCGGCCACAAGAAAAAACATCTAACCCTCCAAACTAATTGTAAATATGTTAATATACCAGTTTTTTTCTAAATTTTGTTTTTTTTTTAGTTTTGTATAAAAAATTGATTTTTTTCATACTCCCTTCTCTTTTCTTTTCATTCTGCTACTAACCTCCCTACTTAGACCAACCTCTACCAAAACTTTTATTCTTACAAAAAATAATTTTCCTAATTTTTTTCTTCTTTAAAAAAATCGAAAAAAACGTACCTAATTTCAAATTCGAAACAATAGAAAACCAATATTCGAAAAGCAAATAATTCTCCAATAACGTGTCCTTCTTGCATCAGGGCAGAGCGCATGTGTTGGATGTCGTGTAATTTAAAAAAAAAAATATTTTATTTTTCAAAATTTTGTTATACTAAAAAAATATCATCAGCTTGTTCTATAACCAAAATCGTTTTTTCTATATATATATACATATTTCTAAAAATTAAATAATCGGCTTGAAAGAAAAACAACAAAAACAACACTGTACAAAATAAAACAACGTTCAAAACTAATGGTTTGCTAAGCATATATATAAATATTTTTTTTATAAATACCAAAAAAACCAAACTATTTGTTTAAACAAAAACATGTGAGATGTCTCCCCTTCACAGTTCTCTGAATTGAAATATAATTTTGTTGAGAAAATTTAGAAAAAATAATAATTTTGTTTATATTTTTTATATTAATTTAATTTTTTTTATAATTAATTGTTGTAACAAACTCAAAATTATTTTTCTTCTTATTATTTAATATTAAAAAACCAATGCACCAAACTTTTCCCCCCGTCCCACAACGAACACTAAAGATTCCCAATAATGAAAAAATGCCACAACTAGAACCAATCTAACACTT